GGGGTCAGCATGCGCGGCACCCATCGTGCGCAGACTTTGTGAAAACCTAACCTGTCATGCATTATGAGGTAGGCCATGCCGTGTGAACACGCCCCGTTCCGACAGCAGCCCAAAGAATTTTATGCTGCTGGTTTTCAGGAGCTTGTGAAACGATGGGACAAGTGCCTCAATGTACAGGGAGATTATGTTGAGAAATAAAAGCGTTTTTCAAATCAGTACTCTTATTTGTTTAAGTTCTGTATCCATTTGTAACTTGCTTATTGACTTACCTACGTATTAAGGAACCCGAAGTTTCATTACCTTGTTCACAACAGCCCTCCACTGATCCCTATCCTCAGCCAGATCAATCCAGTCCATACCGGCCCATCCTGTCTTTCTAAGTTCCATCTAAGATCCATCCTTCCACCTATCTTTAGTTTTTCCCAGTAGTTTGTTTCTTTTTGTTTTTCCCACGAAAACCATATATGCATACCTCTTCTCGCTCATGCGTGCTGCATGCTCTGTTCATCTTATCCTCCTTGACTTGATCATTCTAATTACGGATACTTACATTTTGTAGAGAATATTATCTTCTGTGGCATACCGCCGTGTAGTCTGCTTGCCTTTACTTTACGCTGGCCTATCGCTCAACTTACTCCTCCACCTTGAAGATGGAGGCGACATGTTCCACAGAGACGTCGTAGGCTTTGAACGGACTGCACGGCGTCGTGTCACATAAGGTAGAACTCTTGATAACCGCCGGTGTGAGGACCTCATATCCTGTACTTAAATTTGTAAACTAAGTTTAAGGAAACGAGGCTGTTTATTGCGAGAACCATACCAGAAACATGCAGTCAGCGCGGGCAAAATATAAATCTTTAATCACAGGGCTTTAAATGGTTTTGGGTCTGGCATCTTACCCCGAACCACTTGTTCAGAAAGCAGCAACATAGCAACCACTGCGGAGCCTTGCAGCAAGGCATAGAGGATGGGTGTTCTCATGGTTCTGATGTATTGATTAGGGGCATGTCGGCTGACAGATGAACAGAGCCGCTGTTCAGCGACGGCCTGTGTTCAGCATGTTCAGAACTAGCAGGCTCTTCGCAGCCAAAGCCTGTCTCTTTATGATGTGTTAATTAGCTGAGGAAGGTGTGGCCTGTATCTGACCGCTAGTCACAGTTTTCCCACATAAGAGGCCAGGGTTCAATACCAAGGCAGTCCGAGGGTCAGGAAGACACTGCAGCAACCTTTTTGGTTTTCTCCTACAGATTATGATCCGCTCGTTCTGCACGGTCTCGAATATTCGGGGCTGGTATATCCGTAGGTACCACCCACTAATCCAGTTATGCACTAATAGTCCGTAGTCGCACCTGTATATCGATTAATTATTCGACTACTTAAACCGGAAAGCTAGAGAAAGAGGGAAAGGCTAACACAGTCGACGTTTGTTTCATGAAGATATTCGATAAGTTTGAATCGACTACTAAACTTATTCTTTTTATTCGAATTAAATATTTTAGAAGGACAGAAAAAGTTCACGTAAATAAATTCGTCACACAAAAATTCGATTCTAAGCTGCAGCTTCTAACAAAAATGAGTACCAGGAATCTTCTTGGGGGGTAAAGGGCGGCAGGCGAGTAAGGCTGACAACCTCGATGTCTCACAAGCCTATGGGCCTCCACGGCCTGTTACAGGGATAGCTTTACCTTTATCTACTTTTATTTTTTAAAGAAAATATAAAAGGAGGCTAATGAGATGACGTTGTTGTCTGTGTTCCCCTAATGATGTCAGGCAACGGCTCAGTAAAAACGTTTTCGAGGTAAGGAATACACACGCAAAAATAGAAGAAATGTTTGATGCGGTGTTTTCTCTGCGGTTCGTGTCGTATAAGATAATATGTAGTGAAAGTAAAGTAGGCTATCAGTTCTTCCCAGAATTTCTTGTTACATAAATTAGCATTTACTATTTCAAGTTACTGTGAGAAATTACTATCTCAGACACGGTAAATTCTGATAGTACCACCTCTTTACTGCGTCTGGTACTTTCCGCAGGTGGGGCCCACAGCCTCACGGAGACATGAGGAGGCAGTTTCCTTATTTAACGTGTCTACATCTCAAATAGAATTACGAACACATACACAACACAGACCAGTTCTGTTAGTTACAAGAAGCACGGGTTTGGAATGTATCGTTCGACAGAATTAATCGAGCAATCGACTTATTTAAAAAACGGTTGTTTTATTCGATGGTTTAAATGGATTTACTCGTCTGCTTTCAGTCGATTCCTGTCCATAGCTAAGCCTATGCATTCAGCAGTCAGTACGTTCTTTTTGAATATTCACTCTGTATATTACTGTTGTATCCACTTTGTATTGGATGTGATCCTTCAAAACAAGATTGCATTAAAAATGGAAGCTTACTAACATTGAAAATCCCTCGCTGGACCCATTTCACATCGGCCTCTTTGTCAGGTTCTAATGGACCCCAATTACATGATATGAATACTGACACCGCAGCGATATATCCTTATATATTTCCCGTATTTCTGTCTCCTTTTTTTTATTGCTAGTGGGATGGGACTAAGTCCCTTGTACTGCGGCCACTTCTGGCCTATTGTACCCGCCCCAGATGATAGGTGAGGATGATTGTGGAGCAATTGGTGGAATGAAGATTGGCAGGGGAAACCGAAGTACTCGGAGAAAACCTGCCCCAGCGCCACTCTGTCCACCACAAATCCGACTTGACCAGACTCGGGGTCGAACCCGGGCCGCCGCGGTGGGAAGCCAGCGACTAACCGCTTGAGCTATGGCGCGTCCTTTTCTGTCTCTTAGTATCAATAGAAGTGAGTCATTGGTAACGAGTTTCACTGCATAACAGTGTTAAACGAGCGGGTTAACGTAGCGGTAATGCCCTGGATTCGAATTGCGGAGGTGTTCGTTTGGGATCTAATGGAACACCAGTTATCGTAACAGAGGCTTTTCATGGGTTTCTTCAGACCCTTCATGCAAGTTCCAAGATATTACCTCGATTATACCACGAACAGTTCCTTCCAAATCCTTTCTACTTCATCCGTCATCCCTAGCAGTCTGCGCTATGTATCCAACACAGAAGCAGAGTCGTGAAGTAACCAGAAATCAAAATATTGTGACATGTAGACCCATTGCTAGGGAACGGCTCGATAAACAAGCCCGCAACAAATACGTAACCAACAATAAGTAGATCCATTTCTAGGCAACTGATGTTTTCTATGTGTCCGCTTCTAGAGGATAGAACAGAATCAAATCAGAGAGAATGAAAGTGGAGTGAGTCATCGGATATCCATGAAGAAGTGTTCGGCTGGAGAGTTATTGTGATTACGAGTGATTGTAAAAGAGTGATCAATAAATCAAATAATCCAATCCAAACCCGTTATTGTTAGTCACGGCCATAAATCGTGACAATATTAACAGTACTCACAGAATAAGTGAGACACGCGTTAGCATAATTGGTTGAGGCACTATGCTACAAGCCGGAAGGTCGCGGGTTGAAGTCCCGATGGAATGTTTTTTTTTTTCAATTGACCTAATCCTTCCAGCCGCACTATGGCCCTGGAGTCGACTCAGCCTCTAACAGAAATGAGTACCAGGAATATTCTTGGGGCTTAGGGTAAAGAGCGGTAGGCACATAAGGCTGAGAACCTCAGCGCAATCTGTGAGCCGAGAGCCTCGACATCTCACGACCCTGTGGGCCTCCACGACCTGTTACAGGGATAACTTTACCTTCTTTACTCACAGAATAAGTACAACACTTTTAAACAAAAGACAGCTAACTCGTTCGTGATCTGTTACTTAACTTATTCATGCAACTTAACTCTAAGGATTGTTGCTATGGTAACCCGAAATTATCTAAGATCAGTGCTTTCATCTCATCGTTGCGTTGCTTACTCTTCAATACGTACACGTCGATGAATATGGAAGGGTCGGTGTTTGACCGTGAGAATGTAGGCATCACGGCAAGCAGGAGTTGCCGTCTCCTTGCTGTGCATACCGCCCGGTGGATGCATTCATCTGTCTGGAGTAGAGGTTGTGGGAAGGGGGTGGGAGCTCTTATTGCTGCCCCGAGCACCGCCCTTAAAACTTCTTATTTAAAGAGATTAATGGACGCAGGTTTCGTCAGGGCTTGAGAGATCCATCTGACAGTTAAGCCGCGCAGTTTCTTCTTACTGTTTCAGTAAAATATCTTGTTTATTGGTGCTGTGGGTGAACACTCAGCTGAGCGGGTTACTTCCGTTCGTATCTCTGACGAGATATTGGTCACCCTGACTTTGTTTTCGGTGTGTACTTCCACCAAACAGATAGCGCGCCATCACATGCACGTACCTAGCGACATAGGTTGGTTATCAGTCAGCTCAATGCACTGAAATATTTATTCTTGTTCAGACAGAAGTTTATTGGCGGAGGAAGGCTATTGGTTAGAACTGGAGCTAGAGTACCTAGGTCGGTTTAGCGACTAAGCTTCTAGCTTGGGGACCTAGGGATCTGAGTTTGATTCCAGTAACGAGCATACATTTCTCTCTTGTTCCCATTGTCCGAACTGGTTATGGTTCCCATAGCTTCCTATTGAATGGGTACAGATATCTACCCCAGGGGTAAATCAGCTGGCGCGTGAAACTAACCACTCACCTGAGTGTGTGTTGAACTATCCCGCTCGGTGTAATGGAGGAACTGTTCTCGACCTCCTGGACATAGGGGTCGTGTGTTCGAATTCCACTCGAGACATGAATGTCTCTTTGCGTTTATCCTTTGTTTGTGTTGTTCTGTTGTTAGGTAGCAGCCTTCCCCCTTCCAGGGAATAATACCGTTTGTGTATAGGATTACGAACCTGAAAAAGGAGGCAGGTCCCAACAAAGTCCAGTAGAACCATTGATGAGTGAACGTTAAACTATACCTCCACTCCTCCATAGTTCCTCAAGGCGTGCTGCTTAGTTAAGCACAGGAAGAACTTTGTCTTTGTGATGCTGTAATTCTGTTTCTCTGTTTTCAGGTAAATTCAACCGCGAGTTGTGTGCTTCCCGCTCAAGAAGTTGTTCAGTAACCCGGACTCAATCGTGCAGTTGCCGCATGTGTAAGAATGGAGAGTTCTCTGGCCCTGCTGTTTGGGACTGATGGTGAGGCATCCGGGCCGATCTGGGCCGAGCAGCGGGAGCTGCAGCGCCAGCAGACATGACTATCCTGTCGGCGAAGCTAGCGACAGAGCCAGCCGCACTTGCTTGATCGGTTGTGCAGTGTTCATCTTTAAAAAAAACATGAAAATAGCGAAGTGTTGATTTCCGCGATTCAAAGCATAATTTTATCTTACCCTTCGAGCGTCAGCTTGTCCTGCGCGTGACCGTTGCCATGGATACAACATTAGGACGCCGCGTTGCGGCCGCAGTGCGAAGTAGCTCTAATGTCAGCGGAGTCGGCGGGAATATTAACGTGTCTGCTTCATCGGGTAGTCATAATCCTGGAGCTCAGGGGAGCGTCCTTATTGGCGGTTCGACGACGGCGACATCTGGCGTCGGAAGTGGGAGTTTATCGTCATCGTCAACAGCAACAGGTCCGAGATTACGGAGACAGAGGAGTTACGAATGGCGACAGAGGCAGTACAGCACTTCTGATGATGAGAATGTGGTGATTGCGCCTGGAGGAACGGGCCTCATTCACGTGGGGAACACAAGGGCAAGCAACGCGAGTTTGCAGTCCACAGGGGGCGCTTGTTCGGGCAAGCAGCGCGCTAGCCCCACTCCTGCTGTGTATGCTGCCGGCATTGCTTCTCTCCTCGCTGGATACTCGAGTAAGTACAGACTTTCACTTTCAGCGTTATACTCAGTTTCCTCGAGAGGCGTTCACGAAATGTGCTTTCTTATGGTGGGATAAATTGAGTACGTGTTTACATAAACGACAGAAAAATATGAGAAGCCGTATTTATTTATTTTTATTTAATTTGTATGAATGTATAAATTGTTTTTTTTTACGTGTTTAGAAATAGTGACGTTATGTAAACGAGAATGAACTCTTATTTACGAACAAAGCATCGTTTCATTACGATGATTGACAGGAGTTATAAGTGAAAGGTAAACAGCTAAAATTTCCATGTGCTTAACAAATTAAGCACTGCACCATGAAGGCGTATGGGGGAGTGGATGTTTAGGTCCACGTTCTATTGACCTCGGCACTATTTCGAGGTAAATAGTTTGCTTCACGCCCCGGCCACTCTACCTCCGGAGAAAGACCTCCCCCGTACCCGTTGAATAGGAGATTGGGTGGACCCCAGAGCCGATCTGGACGATATAGAAAAGTGAAAATTCTTCACCCTACCGGGACTCGAACTCCGAATCCTCGGTCGTACAGCCCGTAGCAAGTCTCTACACCGACTGAGCTATCCCGGCTCGAAATTATAAGCACGTTAAGAAAATATAGGAAAGTGAAGAAGCACTCGCTGTTACTCTGAATTGAAGCTCATTCAGTAAAGTCGTGATTCGGTCAGAGAACTTCTGTGTTCGTATTTGGAAAGAGTACATGAGAATTAATATGAAAATTTAGTTTTATTTTTGAAGTTATTGAAACGGTGTTGATTGGTATTATTTGACTTGCGTGTGTTCTGTTTCGACTTAGAAATGTTAACGTTTTAAATAACTGCAAGTCGCATTCACTTAAGGAAATCCCGGGCTATATATCAGGAACAAGTACAAAAAAATGCAAGTTCGTTTTACCACACCGATCGGCGAGATACGAAAGTATGCAGTAGGGTACATTAACAGAGAGGTCTGAATAGCGTACACCAGTAGACGCTACTGCGCTTTTGGCGTACGAATGCTGTGATACTAAAACTGTTATTTGCTAAAAGTTATTACAAATTTTATCATAATGTGTGTTCTTATGAAAACTAATTTAAATCTGCGTACAACATATCGCTACGTCATATCGCCCACGTCCATCCCTCAAAAATAAAAATGTTAAATACATACGAAGAGTGAGGAGCCGGGATAGCTCAATCGTTATAACGACTCGCTACGGGCTGGACGCCCGAGGGGTTGGAGTTCGAGTCCCGGTAGTATAAAGAATTTTCTCTTCTCCACGTCGTCCAGACCTCATATCCATTGGGTACCGGGAGGTTTCCCCGGGGGTAAGGCGGCCGGGGCGTGAAGCCAACCACACACCTCCAACTAGTGCCAAGGTCTACACATCCACCTCCCTGTACGCCTTCATGGCGTAGTGCTTAATTAGTTAAGCACAGGAACAACTCTACAGCCACTCAAGAACTTCCAAATATTTTATGAAACCCGAAGGTTCATTACCGTGTTCACAAGAGCCCTGCACTGGACCCTATCCTGAGCTAGATGAATCCAGTCCATAAAACCCTAGCCAATCTCTCTAAGGTCCTTTTTCATATTATCCTCCAACCTACGCCTAGGGGTAATAATAATAACAATAATAATAATAATTCAATTTTTTACTATTTGTGTGCCGAACCAACAGCCACGAAGCCAATTACAGGCACAGCACAGTGTAGATACAAGTAGTTACGGACTGAACAAACATAACATAAAGTCAAAGACTAATTAAAGGTAAACAGTGGAGGAAAAACACATTAATTCATATAAGGAAACAAACAAAGTAATGATAATAATAATAATAATAATAATAATAATTTAATTAACACAAATCTAAGTTGCTATTGAGAATTAAGGAATGTAAAGTACAAATATTTGGAAGAAATACTAATACTGGTTATAATACAAGCGCTCGAGACGAGGGAATGTTCCGGAGACCCGGTTCTGCGTTGCCACTTGTGGAGCAGGGCGGCCGGTCCCCGCATTTGAGTGCGCTGTTTTGTCCGACCTCCCTATCAGTCCGCACCTGTTGCCTCCAAGCCGGCACAGCGGTGTGCGGCACACACACACACACACCCACCCAACCGGCTGTCACACGTACCAGTTTCATTGCAACACCGTGGCTTTACATTGTCACTGTCTAATGCGGTCCAGTAATTACCATTGTTACTGAAGAGTGCTTCTGTCTTGTAGGAGCCGGGTTAGCTCAGTTGGTATACCGACTAGGCTAGATTTGGTGACGCCATAGATTTGTATTCGGGACGTACTCGGTTCGGATCTCGACCTGGACATCGGTTATCTTGACTGAGATTTTCCGTGATTTTATCAAGGTCCCTCGAAGGCAAATTACGGCATATTCCCAGGATTATGCTACGATCGCTTCCTTCCAGATCCTTTCAACTTCGTCATTAGTCTGTCACATTACCAGCTTTGTTATTCTTAGTGGGGTGAGATTGAGGCATCAACCGGCCTCGGATGTGAGATGATGAGTGTGGACCAGTCGGTGGAATGAGAATTGGCAGGGGAAACCGAAATACTCGGAGAATACCTGCCTCAGCGCCACTTTGTCTACCATAAATCCCATATGACCAGACCCCGGGCTCGAACCCTGGCCGCCGTGGTTGGAAGCCAGCGACGGCCATCCACGCTATACTATCGACACTGAAACAGCGTCGTTAAATGTTCCACAGGTCGCGTTTATTGTGGCAGGGAAGGAAGTGAAGGAGAAAAGGAAGCAAGGAAACACAGATCTTACAGTGGTGCTAAATGTAGGCGTGCATAAAGCTGGCTTTCCGTGAATACGAAAAGTTTCGATAAATATATTTCTACTCTACTTTGCCGCCAGTTCTAGTTGAGAAGCTCCTTAAACAAACTTTCGTCAGACGCTGTGTGACCTGAGCAGATGAATTTCCTACAGATTTCCTTCGTGGAATTCGTGGCTGTTATGTGGGGAGAGTATGAACGGGCTAAGTCATACCATTTTATCTTCCTACATACGTGTATGTCATGTGACCGCCTCTGTGGTCAGAATTCCTGGCTGCAGATCCAGAGTTCCCGGGTTCGATTCCTGGCGCTACCAGATTTTCTGAGAAGTAGTGGGTCTCAAACGGGGTCCACTAAGCTTCGCGAGGATAATTGAGGAGCTATTTCAAGGAAAAAGCGGCTCCGGTCTAAAAAACCGAGATTAACGGCCATGGGGATTCGTTGCGCTGACCACGTGACAGCCTCTATCCGCTAAAGTTGGCACTAACTTAGCCGACAAGCAGCGATCGCTCGGTCGGTATAGTTCGCTTGCGGACTACAGGTCACGGAGTTTTCTTTACGTATGTCATATGAACTATTTATCAGCATTCTCTTAATTGGCAGATGTTCCTTACTGCTTAGTGTGGGTGTGAAACTTGGTCACACATATGAAGGGGGATAAATACGTATAAATTGATCGTGTGTCAGAACGGGGGGCTGAGAGGAACATTTAGAAGTAAAGAAGAGGGAACAAGGGGCGGCTGGAGAAAGTGACGTAATTGTCAGATATTGTTACGATGATCTGATAATGACGTGCGTGAGTCATGTAGCATGTATAGGCGAGAGGTAAGATGCATACAGTTTTGTTCTGTAACCGTAGACACAAGGGACCACTAGAGACACCTGGACATAGATGGTGAAATATTGTAGCGTGTAGAGCAGCGAACGCGAGATAAGCAAATATACCAGAGCCGATTCTAGGCAACGGCTCGGTAAATACGTTTCCGCGGGAAAGAATAAGCATGCAACAATAGAAGTACTGTTGAAAACGTTTTCTTTTTTGTACTCTGTGCATACAAAGGGGTTATAAGGCGTGCAGTTGAAGCAAGAATAGTTCAGTTGGAAGGGAACCACCGTTCAGAGAGGATTTGATCCCAGAAGCAGAGGATTAGCCATTGTTAAAGCAGTTACCAGGCAACTACTAGTAAAGACGCTGCGGGCTGGAAAAGACAGTATGATTTTGTGAAGTGTGAAAATAGCGATAGTGTTATAGTTTTTGTAGTTCCGACCTGAGGTGGTCAATAAATCCAATATCCAATTCAAACCCCTGTTGAGAGTCACTCTAACACGTTGCAATATTACATTCAGTATAAATAGTTATGATGGGAGTAAATTAATCTGATTCTAGGTAGGTAATAATAATAATAATAATATAATATAATTCAATTCGTGTTTATTTATGTGCAAACTTAACAGCACAGTGGCCAATTACAAAGTTAGCACGAGTACACAGAAATACACAAAAATTAAGAGCAAAATAATAATAAATTTTTGGATTCCATAAATGAAGCAGTTTTGATTACGTTAGCAAATATCAGCTTATCAAAAGGACTCTGCTCCATGGAGTTATTTTTTACTTTAATTTAAATTAATCTCTTAAAATTAATATCTTATTCCATGTGACGCCGTGTAGCTTGCTGGAAATTTGCCGACTTCTCGGATCGACGGTGAATATAGAGGCAGTACATACTGTCTAAACATGTGTGAACTTCTACCAGACTACACGTCGTCACAGTAAAATCGACTGTAAACTTCATTGCCAGTGGCGCAAGCAACTCATCTCGAGCAAATTGGCAGGTTCTTTTTTTTTATTTGAAGTTCTCACAACAGTCACTACAAGGAGTCTTATATTCTTTGACATAACACCATGTAAACATATTGAAGTGAACAGACGTTTCGGAGGAAGATATTGCCTCCGTTTTCAGGATCGAAGTTAAGCCATCAGGACGCTAGCACAAAGCAGGCAGCAAGCAGTTCCCTAATAACTCCGAACAACACCGTTTTACATCCTGGAAGATGAAACAGTTCAAATTGATTTATTTTTTCCCCTTAAGACGAGAATTGCTCCTTGCAGCCCTGTCAGGTTTAGGGTGCGGGGAAGGGGCGAGGAAGGGCATGTCCGTCTCGGACACGTGACGGACACTTGTTGCTGACTGCA